GTCAAAAGTCAAGCAAAAATTGGACTGATATTGGGCACTATTTCAAGCACAATTTTTTGAGACGTAAATTGTACCTATAGCTCGTTCGATATTCGCGCACTGAGGTGAGTATGCTGGGCGTAGAACCTACGCCCAGCATACTCACTGAACGAAGCCTATAACTCCGAAGTTATTCGAGCACTGTTTTTTCTTTTTGGGCACCGTTTGGCACTATTTGGGAACTATTTTTTGAAGTATGAATTATGTTTGAAGCGTATACAGATTCTCCGGACGGAGGTGAGTATGCTGGGCGAAACCTTCGTCCAGCATACTCATCGAACTATGGCTATAACTTCGCAAGTACAAGAGCACTATTTTTTTCCTTTGGGCACTATTTAGCACTATTTCAGAACAGTTTTTTGACATTCATGAAATATCAGGATTCCATGGTGAGTATGCTGGACGAAGGGACACCAAAGTTTGCCAGGTCAGCTAGTTTTCAATAAAACTATTATTGCACTTGCATACCTATTTAGTAAGAACTTAGATAGAGCGGCGTGAATTGAAAAGTACGCAGTACGCACTGTATAGTCATTAATGGGTGTCACTTCTGTGTGCACCTCTGCCTACCCCTTCGGGGATAAAGAGGCGTGATGTTATGTTATGTTATGTTATTAAAACAAATAATTTGGTTAAATGAAAAAAAAAATGATTTTAGTTTTAAATTAAAATGGGCTAAGAATTTTGGTGATCATTTACTATTTTGCCACTTAAAATCAGATGATAAGTTAAACATAAGGTGTTTCATATTAAATTTCTTTCTTCGGACTTGGGTTGGCAGTAACGAACTATGAATTCATGTAACTGCTCTTCGATCCACCCCCTGAGGTACCACAGGTTCGTGTAAACGCTTGGTTTGTTTTTCTTTGCACAGCCATCACCATGTGACGTTAGACCAACTAATTTCCTGCAAAATTTCATAAGAACAAATACTATCATTGCGTGATATAGTTTAAATATTGATATTTATTTATTACATGTGACTGCACCTCGTGATATTAAAACTTTGTTTTATTTTGTGAACTGTGGTAAATAAACTGTTTATCATGACTGTATTGTTTCTATCTAAGGTACACAATGTCATTAAAAAGGAAACAGAGCAAGAGAGAAACACATCAACCGACAATGCTAACACAGACACATTTTTTAATGAAGTTAAAAATATGAAGAAGAGATATATTCACTGAATGTGGTAGTGTTAATTGTCACATCATCAGCCGTCGAAATGTCCACCGCTGTGACAAAGACCTTCTTTTTAAAGAATATCATCATACTTATTGCATGGTGGTTCGAAGATCGCAATTAATACCTACATTAAAGGCTTAGAGAATGCTGCTCTCGGTCCTTCATCCATGCCGCGCGATTATATAATACAAATATTATACTTTCTTACCCACGCCAAAGCACTCCTCCGCCAGAGTCTCCGCGGCAGCTATCCCTCTTTCCGTCTCCATAAAGACAGAACATGTCTGGAGAGAGCTCCATATTATGTAGACGACTGCAATTTGTTGCCGGTATGTATCTTAGAACGGTCATCATAAGATACTTTTCTGTTAATGACCCGTTGTACTGAAACAACGCGGAAAAGAATAGATTTTATTTTTATAATACAAACATAACATATTATCACAGCTGTCTCCCTTTGGATTCAGCAGAGCTAATGGAACGACTCTAACGTACACTTTGTTATCATCTAAGTATATTCATCAGGATCTTCATACAACAAATATTACGTGGCCACATCGCAAACAGAAGCCAATAAACAAGTAACGATGTCTAAATAAGTATTTTAACTCGTCGGGTACCGTCATTATAGACACAATTATAGAACAATAGGTTGCGGTCACTGGTGACCGCTTGGTGTTTGACAGTTTAATCATAGATATTATGAACCAGGGAAGGATCTGTTGCCATCTTTTGAAAGACC